GCACTTTATTTTAGTCCAGTTTATTACATCACTTTTTGATCCTTGTTCTTGGTCTTTTTAACAAGCGAACACAAAACGATGAAGGCAAATAGCATGAGAAAAAGATGTGATGCTTGTCAAGATAGTCCTTAATGATGCCTGTTGTCCATGAATCATTCATGGCAGTGTCGGCATGCTTTTAGAGTTTAGCAATGAAGTCTAATCAGACAAAATACATTTCTGCTGTATTTTGCTTGGAAGACGCCAAATGATATTAAGTCAGAGCTTGAATCTTGAAGGAGAGTTTGCATTGATTCAGACTCCAGTAGAGAATGGAGAATTATCCTAAAAGATTAAAAGCAGCATCAAATGCATCATGTTCAGTCAGGCCTACACATAGATCTTAAAGAGTCTGACTCTTTGTTTAAAAAACAGCAGCTGGGAGGACTCAAGGCAATTATCCCAAAACAGAAAAGACAAATCACCATGGAGTTTTGATCAAGACAGAAGAAGAATGATGTATGCTGTCCATTTTTTTATGTGGCCGTTTCTGGCTAGGCCAGTGTTCCCTTATTGCCCAGAGGACAGTTCAAAGTCAACCACATTGATGTGAGTTTGGAATCACATGTAGGCTAGTTTAGCAGTTTGCTTGCCTAAAGGATATCAGTGAACCAGATGGGATTCCACCACTCCCCCCCCGCCCCCGACAATTGTTTCACAGTTAACATTAGATTCTTAATTCCAGGTTTTTCACTGCACTGAAATTCAACTTTTGCCAGAACAGGATTTGAACCTGGGGTCATGGAACATTCCCTGGGTCTTTGGGTTAACAGCTTAATGATAATACCACTAAGCCATCATTTCCATCTCACAGTGAAAAACCACATGATAAACTCTGCCCTTCACAGAGCCAGCTTGAGCATGGGCATGGGCATACCCTCCAATTTCCCAGGATACATCGATAGACATTTGGATAGCTGAACATCTACCGATTTTTCACGCATTATCAGCTGTTGAAACTCAGCTGCCTCTCGGAATGGTTTGAATACAAACTAGGGCCCAATATTTAAAACCTTATTTAGGTAACATGTATTCAAGAAGTTTGTTTTCTTGACAGTGTTTGTTTGCATGTATCTGCTGAGCTGCTGCAAATTTCCAGCATCTCCTTCTCTTCAGTTGTTAGTTGTTGAGGCCACCTCTGATTCTTTGTGTCACCCTGCTGTCCTCTATTCTTCCCTCCTGCATGGAGGGAAAGAACAGAGCTATCAGTGGCACTAATGGAATGTGTTAACCCAATGGATGGAGAGTATTAGTTGAGATGTACGAAGAGGTGATGGAGAGGCAAATTATACAAAAGCTGAGAATGAGTGGCTATAGATCAATGAGAATGTGAAGTGCGCAGACAGAGATGGATAGATGAGCCTTCAAGTTGGTGTGAGGTGCTGCAGCAGCTTTGCTAAGGACATGCATCAGGTTATGGGTGAATAGGCCACTGCTCTTATCTTTTCTGACAGGGCCAGCTCATTAAGCTGCTTCCTGCACTGAAGCCAGGAGGGTGACACTTTGTTCCTGTTTCTGACCTCAGCAACCTCCAGTTTCAATAATAATCTTCATCTTCCTGTTACTAAGGAACTATATCTCACACTGTGTCTTCATTGACCCCAGCAACGCATCCAAGGAGGTATCAGTGAACTGTGTGTGTGGCCTTTGTCTGTCTTGACTCCTTTCTAAGATTTCTTTCCCTCTTTATGCCAATTCTTACTGCTTCATGTTGCATGTTTGGAGTGTCCTACTGATCAGTAGGACATTGCGTCAGTTGTCACTATACTCACTGCTGCTAATTGGAAGCAAATCACAGAAATCTGATGTTAACAATGTGGCCATGTTAGGAAACCTTTGACACATCCAGTACACATATATGGATTTAAACAGATTAGCCATGGTCTTATTGAATGGCGGAACAGGCTCGGGGAGCTAAATGGCTTACTCCCGTTCTTATGTTTCAAATATCTCATGTTCGATCCTGTTCCCAGTCATTCTATACATTAAAATTCACCCCACTGTACAATTGTTCATATGAAATTGAACATATTTTTCTTAAAAATGTATAAGTTAGAATTTCAAAGGAATGAAAAGCCCAAGTCAAGCTTGTTTTGCTAATAGTTAAACAATTTAAAAATCCGAACTGCCAACACTGGAGTCAAACTGAGAGAGCTGTATCTTTCCTCAAACTATTTTGAGCTTTTCAGAAGAATGGTTGAATTCTGAGAAGAAATATATCTTCCGCAGGAAAGATTGGCTAACAACAGTGAAAGGAAGAAGTAGCGGGGCTGTAGGAACCTGTGGCCTCTCAGCTAATTGGAGGGAGCGTGGAGATAGTAGGACATGGATGAGAATAGAACAAGAGAAACAATATGGTATGGGGGTGTGTGGTGAGCATAACATTAAGAAGCAATGGATCAGAGTGGGAGGGTTGGGGATTGTATGTGTGTATGAGTAATGGCAATAATAGCCATGATGGTAAACAGAGAAATAATGCAAATGGACAGTGACTGCAAGAGAAACCAGGACAAAGTTGAAGACTGGGGGAAGGAATTAGATGGGAACTTCACCTGTCTGAACACCTCAAATGCAAACGATGGTGCATCTCCCTGATTCACTGTCGCTTCTCACATGAGAGAGAAAATACTAATAAACTAAACGACAGGAGGACAAACAAAAAGAGTCAAAGTAATAGTAACATTCGAGAAAAAGTCTATCATCTACAATATGCATCGCCATAGGAGTTTCACCAGTGGTGAATAAATCCAGTGTCATTGATCATTAGAAGAAAAGTTTCAGCTAGAAACTCTGCTTGAGGAGTTATTGCTGACATGTCTGAAAATATTAATAGAATAGCATAATCTTTCAAGTCATTTCTTTTAGGGATTTTACAACACCATTTTACAGCCTCGAAACCCAGTAAGATAGATGCCTTGTACCTTTCAGTGGGCTCATCTTAAGGTCATAGAAATTACTGCATTGTATTAACTTTTTTTGAAATAGACTGAAGTTTCTGGTCACAAGAAAGAGTGAATAAGCCTCCAATGGGCTGATCACTTGCTCATTCTTGTCTTGTTAACACGATTGATAAAAAAACAAGGAAAACTTACTTGTTATCTTGACCTCTCCATTAAAGTTCTTTGGTAGATTACAATTCAGCAACAATTAAAGTCTTTTGCACCTTAATTTCAGCACCTTCAAGCAGATAAAAGATCTTTTAGACTATCATACTGGCAATTTAGAAGGAACATGAGTTCAGAGATCTCAAATCAAAGAGACTTATGCTGCAAAACTGTCTAACTGATAGATAAAAAGCTTTGAACCAGCAAAAACCATCGTTCCTAACACTTCCATCCTGTTCAACAATGAAAGAGAGGAACCAAAAGAACTCCTTTGAGTAAAGGAGCAACAAAAGAATCAAGTGAATGTGGGTCTTTATAAAGAGCTAAGAGAGATTGAAGGGACAAGATGCATTTGATATCAAGGGTAAGACCAAGCTTTTTGGTGCAAAAACAGAAGTTGCTGGAAAATCTCAGCAGGTCTGGCAGCACCTGTGAAGAGAAATCAGAGTTAATGTTTCAGGTCTAGTGACCCTTCCTCAAGTTTTTTTGGTGGTAACATTTTCCAGCACCATTAAAATCAGCAAGCATAGAGTGAGACATGGAGCCTCTGCATTTCAATTTCTCTATTCCAACTCAGTGCAGTGATTGAAATCGGCTGTCTAGTTTAAAATCTTCCCAAGACAATTTGTAGCAAAAGAACAAGCTATGAATTCTGTCAAAATGGAAACAGACAAGTACAAAAAAAACTCCTTCACATCTGAAAGATATTCATGTACTTGATTTTTAAATAAGTTCCTTTTATGATTACTCAGATGTACTAATAAATCTATGCTGATTGCAGGAAAGAAATCATCCTCTCTTTGATTTGATTGGCAAGTGACTGAGAAAAGCCGGTTAATTATTTTAAATAGGGAGATCTATTTCCTTGTTTGTTTAGCTGACAAGCGTCTCAAATTAGGCACTGCCTGTCAATGTCAAAAGGAACAAGATAGCAGCAGACTAATAAAGGGCACACTCAAGAAGTGGGAATATTACATCCAGTGATGAGCATGGTTATTCGGAGGAGCCAAAGAAGAGCTTTATAATCCACTTATCATTCTTGCTGTTTTGCAACATGCAGCTATTTCACCAGTTGATGGTAGCTATATGAATAGTCAGGTATGAAAAAAAGTGCAGAGAGATGACAGAGTGCGGGTGAAGCAGAACAAATGGTTTGGCAGAAGGGTCCAGAGTTAGAGGCTGTTGAAGCATTTCTAAATGTGCAGAGCCACCTTGCCTATTATGTACTTTGAACGCATGCTGTGAAAGATAGTAGACTGCATTGACTCCGAAATTATAGTCAATACTATAAGCTTGACCCTTGTCCTTTCTCAATTATAGTAATGTAGAAATAATGATCACCAGTGGCATAATAAAATGAATAAGTTTGTTGTTTATTGGAAATGCTTCCAATTTTGTGAAGCTCGTCAAGATTCTGGAGTGACCAAGATTGAAATATGAACAGAATTTATTAGAGCTTCTATCAGTCAGAGTTTTGAAATCAAAGTACAGGTAAGCAGCACTTTGTGGTGTTTAATATTTCTTCACTGCTGTTGTTTCAGTCATGTGTTTAATTGTACTTCACAGTCAGTCTCCAGCCATGGCAGTGAATTCAGGACATGTCTCATTTACAGGAAAGCCTCACCTTGGTGACTTCCATTGTCTGTACTTTAGAAGAAAAATAAATCACCAAATTGCTTTGGTGATCGCGCTAAAGTGGTTATTGCCTTTATCACCCTGAAGTCAAGTCAGAACATTTGTTAATTTTTATTGCACATATGCTTTACATAAAATATTTACTGCCCATAACCAATTTCTGGTACTTTGCTCCAGAACAAAAACAACATGCAATATTTGTCTTTGTGCTTTTGTACCCAGGTGACGTCTGGTGGACGGGTGACTTACTACGTGTCATATCGAAGACAGAGCTTCACGCAAATGAAACTCCCCAAATATTCATTGCCTAAGGTAAAAAAAAAGTGAAATTTTAACATTCTCTGGAACAGAGTGAGCATTTTCCTGTATTACACAGCATCTCATTACAATGGTTTTATGATGAAGGTGTTTTATCTTTCTTTAATTATTTCAGAATTACAAACAACGTGGAAATATCACAAGGCAAAATGTATTTGAGGGGTATGGCCAGGGGAATTGGCTGTTAGAGATGGGATGCCTTTAACACAACTTTCTCATTTGTGACCTCAATGTCTATTAATAAAGCTCCTCATTGATCAGCTTCTACTGACATTTAATAGGGACTCTAAAGCAGAGGTCTCCAGATTGAGCCAAGTTGTACTTTGGTGTAGATACGCCTGGCCTATCAGGTACACCATTCCTGGAGCCATACTCAGCGTCAGCACTCTTGCTTTTGTGTCAAGAGTCATGGCTTCAAGGCCCACTGCAGGAGCTTGAACATTTAGTCAGGTCTGACGTTCTGTGTGATATAGTGGAAGCAGTCACAGTTGCCATCTCTCAGGTGGTGTCAAGCTGAGGTCCTATCTTCCCTCTCTCCTCGATGTAAACAATCCCTTGACAGAACAGGGGAAATAGCCCTCAGTCTCTCAATCAACATCAATGAAAGCGACTCATCTGGTCATTATCACATGGCTGTTTGTGAGAGCTTGCTGATCATAAGCTGCATACTCTGATTCCTATATTATAACAGTGTCTACATTTCAAAACTATATCATAGGATGTGTAGGGTGCTTGGAGGATGTGACACATGACACATAAATTCCACACCCCAAGAGCATTGTGGGCCTATAGCCCATGGACTGCAGCGGTTCAAGGACGCAGCTCACCACCACCTTCTGAAGGGCAACGAAAGACGATACTGGAACACGCAACATCACCCGAGTGAATAAAAATAAATAATAAATGCAAGTCTTCTTACCCACTGGAATGAAGCCTACATAGTGGTATAACACCTGTAAACTGACAATCAAGAGGGAAAATCCATTTCTGTTTTAATTATTTTAGGGATGTGAGTGTCACTGCCCGAGCCAGCTTTTATTGTCCATCCCTGATTACCCCAGAGATCAGGTATTAAGAGTCAACCACACTCTGGAGTCATATGTAAGCCAGCCTAGGTGAAGTTGATAGATTTCCTTTCTTAAAGGACCTTACTGGGTTTTTACATCTTTACATAGTTATTATAAGGGTAACTTTAAAATTAATTCAAATATCTGTGTGTCATGATGGGATTCAAGTCCATAACACCAATATGTCAGCCTGCAACTCCAAATTACTAATCCAGTGACATTGCCTATTGGCCATTGCCTCCTTGTCAACGTGCCCCTGACACTGGTGTCATTGGTGGGCTGCGTCATTTCTATGTGGCGCAGGGACAAAGGCCACCACAGATGCTCTGTGTCGCCATTTGAGGATTGATGTTCAAGATATCTTCTCCAACTTCTCATGCATCACTGTGGTGTAACAGCCCATGTCTATCCAGCCTGACTAACAGAGAGATACATACACAGAGTTCCTGAGGTACTATCGTTAACCAGAGCTGAAGACTTGACAGTGACCCTGATTAATTCCTCTTCTTAGCAAATGTCTTTTGGCCTATTGGTAGAGATTTTTTGGCCTTAATTCTGATGCTGGAATAGATGCATTCCTTTTCTCATGATTTCAGTAAACACTAGCCTTGCTTGTCAGTCATTTCTTCCAAGTATCCAAGTATGCCTATTGCCCTGCATTTACTAAACATCCCATACCCGATTGATGATACTTCCATTTGATGATGTCCATCTCCCAGTGTATAGATGACACATTGCCCTTGGATGGAGAGTAAAAGAGATGTCACTCTGCAGGCTGAACAACGTCAGCACATGCAGCAGAAATGACAATTCACTCTTAAAGCTCTAGATTCTGTATCAGACTGTGTAGGGGAGGCGTTAGCCTGGTGGTATTATCACTAGGCTACAAATCCAGAGACACAGTTAATGCACTGGGGTTTGAATCCTGCCATGGAATTTGAATTCAGTAAAAATCTGGAATTAAGAATCTAAAGACGACTATGAAACCATTGTTGATTGTTGGGAAAAACCCATCTGGGTCACTGATGTCCTCTAGGGAAGGAAACTGCCATCCTTACCTAGTCTGGCCTGCGTGTGACTCCAGACCCACAGCAATGTGGTTAACTCTTAACTGCCCCTGGGAAATTAGGGATGGGAAATACATGCTGGCCTAACCAGGAATGCCCACATCCTGTGAATGAAAGAAAAAGTAATCGAGAGGTTTAATTGTCAATATGGTATATAGTTTTGGCTATTTCTTGCTTTTTTTGTGTTTTATGTGGAAGTAAAACAAGAGGAAACTATTTTTTAAAATTCCACAACCCATAAAAGGAGGTAAAAAATGAACAATAGAGAACAGGAAAATAATACATTTTTATGATGTTATTGCTGTCTGCTGTTCACATCACAGCAGCAGTGACTGTTTATTTGTTTTGGGCACAAGGTGATGTCTCAGATGGTGAATGGTTGAAAATGTCTAAAATCTGCCCAATCGTGCTTCTCCCATCAGGTTGCCAGAAATAACCACCACGAACTAGAACAAGAGCAGGGTCTTTTCTGGCTCAACAAAGTTTTCGCTCAATGAATATTGATCCAGAATTTGATAGGGATTTTCTAAACAGGTCATGATAAGTGGAAATGAATACCTCACATTGGGCATCTGGGCTGTCCCAATATTCTGGATTCAAGAGTTGATCCTTGACCTACTGTTTTACACAAGAAAGATAAAAATATATCAATTTCATCTCATTCTAGGCTGGGAGGTTTTGTGATGCAGTGGTAGTGTCCCTACATCTGAGTCAGAAGCTCTGCCGTTGAGTCCCAGGCCAAGATGTGTTGGCCTTGGAAGATGCATTCAGACATGGAAAAGCAGATTAATGGTCAGTGTGTAAAAGTCATTCCAACATGCTGAACAGCACGCAGTAAAAGTAGGAAGGTTACCTGGTCAGCACCTTGCCCCTTAGCGTGGATCAATCCAGTGGTCCAACCCTGGAAACAAGGACAGGGGTAAAGATAGAACAGGATCGAATAAGGAATATTCTTGGAGGTTTCCCTTAATTGACTGCCATGAAGTTCCTCATCCAAGTCTGGATGGTGGGTGAATTCCGATGATGCCACTAGGAATCAGAGAGCCAGTAACTCTGAGACCATCAGTGGTATGACTGAGGGAGATAGACGTTGAACAAGGACCCTCGTGATCGTTGAGGAAACTGCTTCACTGGCAGAGATTGATGTGTGGGTGTAGCAAACAGCACGCTCTTTTGGTGAAATGGAGTCTCCATTTTGAAGACCTTAGACCATTACAAGGTTGCCACTTTCACAGAGTCAATGACCCCCCCATCATACATGGCAGAAGCATTCCACTGCTGCTAACCTTAAATATAGTCATTGGATTTCTGCTCATCTCTGGAAAACTTCTCCAGCATTGACAATACATGGCAGAACTATCCCTAAATGTTTCCTGGCCCTCTCTACCTCCACTCCCTTTACCCACTGGCCAGGAAAATTCTGCCCCTAAACTGTGACAAAATAAATAAGAGGTGCATGCCTCAGTTTTAACATAATATCATCTTGTGGAGAGCGGTGTGTTTGTGTGAGGCAACTCTTTTCCACTGAGATTACACTCTAGAGTGGGTTTCAGTTAAAGCAGGGTTACTTGAGGAAACACTGCCTGAGGTATAGTACAGTACAGTCTAAGTACCCCCAATGCTAGAAGATGCATAACTTAGACAGGAAAGACTGGGTAACTGGCGTACATGTGGTTTATAAACTATTGCCCCCAAAACAGAAAATGGATCAAGCTTAAGACAACTCTTCCCATCAACTGAACTCAAAGAATCCACCATTCCTCTCTCCGAGCTTTAAAGTGATTTGATGTTTCTGTTTAAGTCTCCCTCCCTAAAGCACTATTTTAAATATTAAACAGAAAGGATATAAATGTGTTAAAAATAATGAGAAGTGCTTGCTGTGTAGCAACAGAAGCAAAACAAGATGCCAACTGAATGATGTGAACAGGCCATGAAGGTGAAGCCAGTTGGGGACAGCCTGTGGGTCACTTTAATGTTTGAATATATCTAGTCATAGAGAGGAATGGGATGAAAGCCAGAAATCTCCATGCAAGGTGGGAAGAGAAACTGACTTAAACTGGCCCCTTGCTTGTTTTGCTGATATGTGACTTAAAAAGTCTTAAATGGATGGGTTGAATCACATGACAACTTATCACCTTACTCAGAAACACCGATAATCAATTCATAGATAACACAGTGTGGAGCTGGATGAGCACAGCAGGCCAGGCAGCATCAGAGGAGCAGGAAAGCTGATGTTTCGGGTAGGGACCTTTCCCGAAACGTCAGCTTTCCTGCCAATCTGATGCTGCCTGGCCTACTGTGTTCCTCCAGCTCCACACTGTGTTATCTCTGACTCCAGCATCGGCTGTTCTTACCATCCCTGAGATAATCAATTCACACACATTTTGCTTCTGGAATATCAAAATTATCATCGTAAGATCATAAGTGGAAGGAGCAGAAGTAGGCCATTCAGCCCATCAAGTCTGATCTGCTACTCAGTGAGATCATGACAAATCTGATCATCCTTAACTCCACTTCCCTGCCTTTTCCCCATAACACTTGATTCCCATACTGATTAAAAATCTATCTGTCTCAGCCTTCTATATACTCAATGATCCAGCCTCAACAGCCCTCTGGAGCCCTCTGCAGCAAAGATTCACTCCCCTCTGAGAGAAGAAATTCCCTCTCATCTCTGTCTTAATCAGGTGACCCCCTAGTTTTGAGATTGTGTCCTCTAGTCCTAGACGCTCTCACATGGGGAAATAACCTCTCCACATTTACCCTGTCAAATCCCCTAAGAATCCTGTATGTTTCTATAAGGTTGCCGTTCATTCTTCTAAACTCCAATGATTTCACGCCCAGCCTTCTTAATGTCTCCTCATAAAACAGTCCTTCCATACCTTGTATAGCTGCGTGAACCTTCGCTGAACTACCTCCAATGCCACTATATCTTTCATTAGATAAGGGCCCAAAACTGTTCAGTGTTCCAGCTGTGATCTGACTAGTGGCTTTAACAATGCCTCCTTACATGTGGGCAACAAAGGCACCACACACGTGTAAAAAATGACCAATTAATCTAAGTGTGGTCATTATTGCCGTGGGAGAGGGGAAGTGAATGGAAAAGTTTAAGGGAGATATGCGTAGAAAGTTCTTTACGCAGAAGGTGGTGGGTGCCTGGAACGCGTTGTCAGCGGAGGTGGTAGAGGCGGGCATGATAGCGTCATTTAAGAAGTATCTAGACAGATACATGAATGGGCAGGGAGCAGAGGGATACAGATCCTTGAAAAATAAGCGATAGAGGATAGAGGATCTGGATCAGCGCAGGCTTGGAAGGCCAAAGAGCCTGTTCCTGTGCTGTAATTTTCTTTGTTCTTTGTTCTTTGGAATATCATTTAAAACAAAAAGGAAAAGATACACTGTGCCCTAATCCAGGTGCTTATACAATGAATGGCATTATCACAGAATACCTACAGTGTGGAAAGAGGCCATTCAGCCCATTGAGTCTGCACCAACCCTCCAAGAGCATTCCCATGCCATCCGCCTTGCCTGCACGCCATAGCATGGCCAATCCACCTAACCTGCATGTCTTTGCACTGTGGGAGGAAACCGGAGCACCCAGAGGAAACCAATGCAGACATGGGGAGAATGTGCAAACTCCACACAGACAGTTGCCTGAGGTCAAAATCGAACCTGGGTCCCTGGCACTGTGAGGCAGCAGTGCCAACCACTGAACCTTAGTGCCACCCCTTTATCTGGATGGTTTGAGGTGATGAAAGTCTTTGTCACAAATAGTTGTGTATACAGTGTTTGCCTCTGTTTATCTGTTTCTGCAAATTTTTGGGCAGACCATAGGTACCTTTGTAACCTGCTTTGCCTCTGGAGAGTACCATGAAGGGCTCTCCTTTGCAACCTGTCCCCTCACCTGAGCTGTGGTGGCCCTCAGGTTAAATCACTGCCGGTTATTTCTCTTTAATGAGGATGTGGGACTATGAGTGTAGGGGTGGTAGTGGGAGTTGGGGGTTGGGGGTGTGAGGGAGAGGTGGTTCATGGCCGTTCTTCCAATGGCATCCAGCAACGGGCAATAAATACTGACTTAGTCAGCACCACTCAGACCCAAGAAACAAATGAGAAAGTTTCAGTTGCACTTCACATTGTCTCAACTGCACAACTTCTCCTGGCCCTAGCATCCAAACCAAGCAATGAGATTTTGCTCTCAAAGAATATTCAGAATATTCAGGCCTAACCACACGGTAAATATGGCCTGGTAATGCCTTATTATTGTGTGCCACAAAATTAATCCCAAGAAAGTCGATTGGGTGGGACGGATTGAGATTTGTACTCTCTACTGATCATGTGATGCTACAGGATCCGGTTTAACAACAGTAATCTCAAAACAGCATCAGCACAACTTAAAGCTTTTGTTTTCTTGGCAGGATATGCACATTATCAGCACCGATGACAACCAAGTGTTTGCCGCTGTGCAAGAGTGGAACCAGAACGACACATACAATCTGTACGTGTCTGATGCAAGAGGAGCTTACTTCACGATCGCTTTAGAGAATGTGAAAAGCAGCCGAGGCCTGGAGGGCAATGTTATGATTGACCTTTATGAGGTAATGTAATGTCTGTATTCAACAGTACTCCTTAAGATAAAGGTTTCTAATTTACTGAAACCTGACATGAATAAACTGAATTTTCCAGAGTATTTAAATGACAAACACCCAGCCGATATTTCAGCTCCAATGTTCCAGTGATCAGTCTGAGGAAGGGATTAAATTAGCTCAGAGAAGATCAGATTGACCCATTTAGGAAGTATACTAATGTGTTTGCGGCTGAACCCCATAATGGATTTAGTGAACGATGTTGTTTGATTAGTGTCAAAACTGAGTGTTGTTAGAAAAGAAAATCCATCTTTCTACATTGTACACTTTCTCCTGGAGATTTAAAACCAATTGCCTTTTGGGCTGCTGGCAGGGAAAGCAATTTTGAAATCCTGAATGGTTGTGTAAATATGTTATCTGTATGGAGACCTCGTCTTACAATCACAGAATGATTAAAGTGCTTAGTAGGCCATTTGGCCCATTATGCCTGCAGTGGCCAAATCTTAAACTCCAGACTGTGGAGGAAATATATTTAGGGATAGTCTTTCTGTGTGATGGAGTGGGCCAATCTCAACTAACCCTCTCCCTGTCGATCCCACCCCCTCCTCCCACAATAGAATAACCTACCTTTCTCTAATCCCCATAAACAGTGGCATTGTCAGCATTGTGAAATTATTCCTTTCAGGGTGGAGATCCTGTACTGGTTGGCTTTACCTTGAAGGACTCTCCTTCTCAACCTATCCCCAGCTTTGAGATGTGGTGATCCTCAGGTTAAACCATTACCAGTTGTCTCTGTGTAATGAGAGAGCAGCCCCATGGTCAACAAGACTATGGTGACTTGACTTTGACCTTTTACTGCAGCAGGAATTGAGGGGAAATTCTGGATCAGGGTTGAACATGCAGCCGCGCACTTATTGCACAATAGACCCCATCCCACACACCAGAGTCAACTGAAATGAATGCCAATGGTATGGTAACCTTAAACAAAGAAAAAACACCAAAAAACTCTGGATGCTGGAAATCAAAAACAAAATTAGTAATTGGTGGAGAAACTCAGCAGGTCTAGCAGCTTCTGTGGAGAGAAAGCAAAGTTAACGCTTTGGGTCCAGTAATCTTTCTTCAGGACAAAAGATCATAAGACCATAAAACATAGGAGCAGAAATTAGGCCATTTCAGCCCATCGGGTCTGCTCCACCATTCTGTCATGGCTGTAAAGTTTCCCTGCCCCATTCTCCCGCTTTCTCCCCATGACCCTTTATCCCCTTGATAATCCAGAATCTACCTATCGCTGTCTTAGATACACTCAAAGACCTGGCCTCCACAGCCCTCTGTGGTGGTGAATTCCATAGATTCACCACTCTCTTGCTGAAGAAGGTTCCCCTTATCTACCTTCTAAAAGGTCTTCCCTTTACTCTAAGGCTGTGCCCTCGGGTACTAGTCTCTCCTACAAATGGAAGCATCTTCCCAATGTCTACTCTGTCCAGGCCATTCAGTATTCTGAACATTTCAATTAGATCCTCCCTCATTCTTCTAAACTCCATTGAGTATAGATCCAGAGCCCTCAAACATTCTCCTATATTAAGCCTTTCATTCCTGGGATCATTCTCGCGAACCTCCTCTGCACCTGCTCCAGGGCCAGTATGTTTTTCTTGAGATATGGAGCCCAAAATTGCTTACAATACTCCAAGGGTGGTCTGACCAGAACCTTATAGAGCCTCAGAAGTACATCCCTGCTTTTATATCTAGCCCTCTCGAAATAAATGCCAACATTGTATTTCCCTTCTAAACTACCAACTCAACCTGCAAGTTACCAAGTAAGAAAATCCTGGACTAGAACTCCCAAGTCTCTTTGCATTTCAGACTTCTGAGCTTTCTCCCCATTTAGAAAATAGTCCATGCTTTTATTCTTCTTACCAAAGTGCATGACCTCACACTTTCCCAAGTTATATCCATCTGCCACTTCTTTGCCCACTCTCCTAACCTGTCTAAATCCTTCTGCAGCCTCCCCACATCCTCAATACTAACTGTCCCTCCACCTATCTTTGTATCATCTGCAAACTTAGCCAGAATGCCCACAGTTCCTTCATCTAGATCATTAATATACAAAGTGAAAAGTTGTGGTTCCAACACTGACCCTTGCAGAACATTACTTGTCACCGACTGCTGTCCTGAGAAAGACCCTATCAATCCCACTCTCTGCTTTCTGCCAGACAGCCAATCTTCTATCCATGCTTGTACCTTGCCTCTAACACCATGGGCCATTATCTTACTCAGCAGCCTCCTGTGCGGCACCTTGTCAAAGGCCTTCTTGAAGTCCAGGCAGATAACATCCATTGGCTGTCCTTGGTCTATCCTGTTCATTACGTCCTCAAAGAATTCTAGCAGATTTGTCAGGCATGACCTCCCCTTGATGAAGCCATCCTGACTTTGCCCTATTTTATCATGCACTTCCAAGTGCTCCACAATCTCATCCTTCACAATGGACTACAAAATATTACCAATGACTGAGGTCAGGCTAATCAGCCTGTAATTTCCCCTCTTTTGCCTTACTCCCTTCTTAAAAAGGGGGCTTACATTAGAGATTTTCCAGTCCAGTTCTGGGACTCTCCCTGATTCCAGTGATTCCTGAAAGATCACCACTGACGCCTCTTCCATCTCTTCAGCCCTTCAAAAGGAGGGTCACTGGACCCAAAATGTTAACTCTATTTCTGAGTCCACACATGCTGCCAGACCTGCTGAGTTTCTCCAGCAATTTCTGTTCTTGTGCTAGTATTGTAACCTTGTAGCTTTACAAAGTTTCTGTCATTTGAGGAGTAGCTTGGTGAACACACCATGGAGGGACAAAGGAAGTCAGATTAAGCTGATAGAGCAAAGGGAAGAGTGGAAACAGTGAGAGGAGGTCCAGGTGGAATGTGAATTTACACAGACCGGCTGGGCTGTATGGCCTATTTGTGTGCACTCCACGGAGAAAATCTGAGACACCAATAATTCTGTGCCATTGATGAGAGACCTAACTCCCAGTCTGGGACCTCACAATGTTGGGCTTGCAGTGCTTTGATATTTGGCTCTGTAAATAGCCAAGTGAAACTCACCTTTTCCTGGAGTCAGATTGAATGTTTTGTGGTCACATGCCCCAACCCCTATCTGTCAACTCCATTAACTCTCATTCACAAAATGAGACCATCAACTTCCAGACCATGTGCATGTTCAGGGTCAGAGAAATGAAGTAAAAAAGGGGGGGGTTCTTTTTCATAGACCAGTTCCTTTAGCTCCATTCAGTCGACATTTTAATGGAGGAGAGAGGGTCAGCTGAGTGTCATAGCCCAAATTCCAGCAGCTCTCACTCACTCCAACATAAAATAGCACAACAAGAACATCAATCAAAGGAGAAAGCTCAAGAAGTTAAAGGTCTCACTCTTCTTTCTGTACTGTTATGACATGAAATATTAGAGACAGAATGTAAGCATGCTTTTTACTGTTTTCTGTGTGAATTTATACAATGTTTACTGAACACTGATTAGGATTTATGTCTTTATAAATGTACAATAATGTTGGAGAGGAGAAAGAATACCTGGTCCATCCAGCCTGCATTAGAAAACCATGAAGCTTGGCTAACAGGATATGTACACACCCAGAGTTATGTAGCTTCCCGGGTGAGCTGAGAAATCAAGTTTAAACACAAGCTAATTATGGAAAATAAAAGTCAAAAAATTACATTTTGAGTCACTTAGGAAATTGAAACTAGCCCAGGAGATCATGACACCACCCCTGAATTACATTGCAGCATATCTACCTTTATTTAATTAAGTGATCTGCTCAGCCAGAGTCAGGCTTAGATCTCTCTTTTAGAGCAGAATTGAGTGAATCAGTGTTGACCATTCAAATGACAATCTGCTTCACAGGTCCACACAGCAAAGATTAGAGAATATAATGGGTTATATCTTGCTGATCTTGAAATATTGACAGTGTTTCTTATTCATTCGTGGACGTCACTGGCTAGGCCAGCATTTATTACCCATCCCTAATTGCCCAGTGGACAGTTAAGAGTCGACCACATTGCTGTTGGTCTGGAGTCACCTGCAGGCCAGACCACGTAAGGACAGCAGTTTCCTTCTGTCAAATAAATTTTCTCTAGTGGGATATTTCTGAGCATACTGGATATTTTGTGATGGTAACAAATTTTGAATGTTCAATCCAATTAAAAAACAAAAATCACAGCTCATTTCATGGAACTCTTAACAGAAGAATTGAAAAACGTGCAGAATAATCTTGCAGTTAAGACAGTGACAGTAAAAGTACTGGATTCATTTCAGAAACAGTTGAATGCAGAAGTGATTTGATTTCATTTGATTTATTATTGTCACATGTACTGAGATACAGTGAAAAAAATTGCGTGCAAACCAGACAAATTATACCTCACATAAGTAAGTCAGGGTAATAGAATAGAATGCAGACTATAGTGTTACAGCTACAGAGAAGTTGCAGAGAAAGATCAACTCTAATATTTGATAGGTCCGTTCATAAATCTGATAACGGTGGGGAAGAAGCTGTTCTTAAACCTGTTGGTACGTGCTTCTAAACGTTTGTATCTTCTGATCAATGGAATAGGGTGGAAGAGCATATAACCAAGGTGGGAGGGTTCTTTGATTATGTTCGCTGCTCTCCTGAGGCAGCAGGAAATGTAGATGGTGTCAATGAATGGAAGGCTGGTTTGTGTGAAGGATGATACACTTCATCCAGATTAACAAACAGATGGGCTGAATAGCCATTCTCATTCACAGGCATCTTTTACAGTTAATTCCTTAAACATGTCACTGCAAGAAGGCTATTTCAAATGTCAAAGTTTATTGGTGATGGATAAAAACAATTTAAACCTGAAGAATAAATATCTTGGATGTTTTTAAAAGCAACTCCCCATTTCTGTTGATGGTATTTCAATTGTAACCATTTTTCCTAGGTAGCAGGGATAAAGGGAATGTTCTTGGCTAATAGAAAGGTACAAAGACAGGTTAAGACATTCATCACTTATAACAAAGGACGAGACTGGCGACTGCTACAAGCTCCCAATGTGGATGTGAGAGGCAATGACATTCACTGCATTCTGGTAAGCAGCATATCTACTGTCTCACAAACACAGAGGCTCAAATTTTTGTGTTTCATTTCAGTCTTTTATTCCTTGAAAAGGACTTTTTTAACATCGATAGCCAGAACTAATGTAGACAAAGTAAAGATGTTATTGTAAGAGATTAAACATCACGATCAGTGTGGTCTTGGATCCAATTGGGGCTGAACAAAATAAACGAGCAGAGGTTTAAAGTTAATTGCATATTTATTGACATTTGATATCCTTTTCTAAATAAAAAATAGAAGGCTTTATTGCCCCTCACTTAACACCAACTGACAAATTGTACCCATTTCATCCACCAGTAGGAAGTTTGATAAGAAATGTCAACCATAGAAACTAAAATTTAATTGAATTAAATTACCTTGCCTGAACTTTGAGTGGCAGGGATAAATGATGCTTTTCAGTTCAACAAGTAGCACAGCTCAAGCAGGACATGTTCTCTCTTAATCTGATACAATCTCCTAATAGCTTCGAGTGTCTCCACAACTAGTCATCCTCTATTGTGTTCACTTCTTCTAAAGTTTAGCATATTGAACTAATATTTATTGTTTGCTGCCTTTTGAGGAAAGTCAATGTATTTCCTTTTGTAGCATTTAAAGAGCATACACGAGAGCTCGGGCTTTGGTGCACAGTGGCACTGAGCTAATGAGAGTGTTATCTCTCATGCTTTCTCTGTAACCCTTCAATAATTCACTGCCTATTTCACGAGCCCTGTCCTACCTACTGCTCTGTTTTATTCAGATCTCAATGTTTGCAGTACAGCAGTCAATAATTCTATTGTCCAATGCTTTCCATTCGTTGTGATTTATAACACTGTTGATGGATGAGCTGAGGACCGAGTAGACATCTTTCGTATTCCTTATTGTTTGGTAACTTCTCCGGACTGACTGGGCATTCTACCTATCTTTATTCATCATTGGACTCTAATCTGATTCAGTAATCCTTTGGTGCACTAGTTCATCCTCAGTATCTGTCCACTGTACTCTATCCACCTGTAGCTGCACTGCAAATTTTCCTTTAACCACTGTCATCTATCTCTGCTAACTGCTATTCAATCAAATCTGTCTAATTCAGTCACCAGTTGGTGCACTCCATTTGTCCAGATACATTTCAATGTACTCTGCTGACCCAAGGAAACTACTGCATACTTTAATACTTGAATGCACATAACCTAGAACATGATTCCTTCTCTACCTTTTTACTCTTCAGTAATGTCCTGCCTACCCAAATAGCCCTTGTTGTACAAAATGCTTTATTCTGTTCAGATATCATTAATTGAGAAATGTAATGTTAAAACTGGGCATTCAATCCCCCACTCAATGACCCCTTCATTACCCCCCATGATCTCCCATCAACTCCCCCTCAATGTCCCATTAATTCCTTCTTGATGTTCCGTTAATTCCACTGTATTGATCTATTCACACCCATTGCTCTTTCATACTCACTGCCCAAATGAACCTTGATGTCCTTTGTCATTATCCTGCATTGTTGCTTGCAACTCTCCCATTTTTAAAATTTATTTCATCATGGGATATGGGTGTCGCTGGCCAGACAAATAATTGTTACCCATCCTGAATTGCCCTTGAACAGAGTGGTTGGCCTGCTGCATCATTTCAGAGAGTAAGCATTAAAAGTCAACCATATTGTTGTGGATCTGGAGTTACGTGTGGGCCAGACCAGGTATGGGTGGCAAGTTTCTATTCCTGAGGGACATGAGTGAATCAGATGGGTTTTGAAGACAGTCAAGGATCAATAATGGTCACTGTTATTGACATGAACTTTCAATCCTAAATTTTGTTAATTAAATTTAAATTCCAACAGCTCTTGTAGTGGGATTTGAACCCGTATCCCTCAAGCATTAGCTCAAGCCTATGGGTAATTAGTTCAGGGAAGCATACTCTGATGTCAGCTTGGTGCCCACACACTCCCCATGTTCTACTTACTCTGCATATGATGTTCCATTCACTTCCCCACAGTGAAACATCCATCCCATAAAATCTCACATTTTCCCTCACAATAACCTGTTCACAACCAGCAATATCTATATTACTCTCATCCTTCTGCATTTCCTAACTCTCCCACCCCCACCTCCCCCCAATGCAATGGTGAATTTATCCAGCACCTGCACGCTTAACTGTGTTCCCAACCAATAGACAGCCTGACAACTTGTTGCTGCAGCTGGGTAGCGAGATCTGCTGCACAAAATACAAATAACATCTGCTCTGCCTTTAAATTCACCAGTGATACCATCTGCAATTTCTTCCTGTCTAATATTTCCTGTTCTCTAGATCCAAATTATCATCAGATCATATGTGTACACAAAAAAAAACTACTTTAGGTTTATGAAGCAAAAGGATAAAGCAGCACTGCAGGTCAGTTATTGGCACAATGATACTCAGTGGGGCAGGAAGGGATTGAGTGTACAAACATTTTAAATACAACATCAAGAAGGGTCAAATGGGGAAAGGGTAGTAAAAAAAGGAAAATTAATGGTTCTTTACTGAAATACACATGGTATTTGAAACAAATTAAATTAATTAATTGAGTATAGGAGTTGGGAGGACAAGTTGCGGCTGTACAGGACATTGATTTGGCCACTTTTGGAATACTTTGTGTAGTTCTGCTCTCCCTGCTATAGGAAGGATGTTGTGAAACTTGAAAGGGTTCAGAAAAGATTTACAAGGATGTTACTAGGGTGGAGGATTTGCTATAGGAAGGATGTTGTGAAACTTGAAAGGGTTCAGAAAAGATTTACAAGGATGTTACTAGGGTTGGAGGATTTGAGCTACAGGGATGGGCTGAATAGACTGGGGCTACATTCCCTGGAGCATTGGCGGCTGAGGGGTGACTTTGTAGACATTTATAAAATCATGTGGGGCATGCATAGTGTAAATAGACAAGGTCTTCTCCCCAGGGTGGGTGGTCCAAAACTAGAGGGCATAGGTTTAACGTGAGAGGGGAAAGATTTAAAAGGGACCTAAGGGGCAACTTTTTCATGCAGAGGGTGGTGAATGTGTAGAATGAGCTGCCAGAGGAAGTGGTGGAAGTTGGTGCAATTACAACATTTAAAAGGCATCAGGATGGGCATATGAATAGGATGGGTTTAGAGTGATATGGGCCAAATGCTGGCAAATGGGACTAGATTTATCTAGGATATCTGGTCAGCATGGATGAGTTGGACCAAGGGGTCTGTTTCCATGCTATATATCTCTATGACTACAATGGCACAAAAAGAGGTTAATGGGTGCAATCTTATAGCCATTATGGAGATATGGTTGTAAGGAGATATAATGCTGGGAACTAAATATTCAGGAATTTATATTTTTGAAAGGACAGGCAGGAAGAAAGGGCAGTGGGGTAGTTTTGTTAGTATGAAATGGAATAAGTACCACAGCAAGAAATGATGTACAATCCATAAGACTAGAATAAAGAAATTAAAAGAGGAAAAAGACATGGGTGGAAGTAGTCTATAGGATCTCCAACATAAGCTATACTGTTGGACATAAAATAAATTAAGACGTTATGAGGGAATGTAAAATGACAGCACATTCATCTTGGCTGACTTAATGTTCGTGTAGTTTGGGAAAATCAATTTGGCAGAGGTAAACGTGAAAAAGAATTAATAGAGTTTATTAGAGACTGTTTTACTAGAACAAAATGTTGTGAATCCAAACAGGGATCAGTTTATTTTGAATCTGGTAATGTTTCTTTCAACAGGTTTAATGATTTATATCAGAGTAAATGATCCCTTAGGGAACAGGAACCATGCCAAAGTGGAATATAGCATTCAGTTTGAGATTGAGAAACTTGGGTCAGAAACATCTGCGCTAAATTTAATAGGGGCATTGACAAAGGGATAAGGAAAGAGTGACATGGGAAAGGAGTTTAACAGTCAAGATAATTAGTGAACAATGACAGATGTTCAAAAAAATTTTTCATGACACACAGAAAGATGTAGTCCAGTGAGGAAGAAGGATTCTAGGAAGAGGATAAACCAATCATGGTTAACTGAGGAAGTTAAGGATAGCATCAAATTGAAAAAAATAAAATATACAACATGTCAAAGATTAGTGGTAATCCAAACGATTGGGAAAGTTTTTAAAAAAACCATAAAAGGGAAAGTAGACTCTGAGGGTAAACCAGCAAGAAATATTTTAAAAAGGGATAGTACATGCTTTTTTTTAATGTATAAAAACAGACAAGCCAAAATGAGCGCAGATCCCTCGGAGAACGAGACTGGGGAAGTAATAATGGGGAATCAGGAAATAAAAATTGAATACATATTTTGCAACAATTTTCACAGTAGAAGCCACTGATAGCATTCCAAAATGACTAAACAATCAAAGGGGAAAAATAGGAGAGGAAATAAATACAATAACTGTACCAAGAGAGAATAAATTCCAGGGAAACGAATGAGGCTAAAAGCCATTAAGTTCTCTGGACCTGATGAGTTGATTTCTGAGGATATTAAAAGAAGTAGCTACAGAAACAGTGGATGCGCTGGAAGTAATCTTGCAAGACTCCTTAGATTCTGGAAAGGCTCAGAGGATGGAAAACTGCCAATGTAACACACTTATGCAAAAAGGAAAGGAGACAGAACACAGGTAACTATAGACCAGTTAACTTAACATCTGTCATTGCGGAGATGTTGGACTTTATTCTGAATGATGCAATAGTAGACCATTTAGAATTGCATAGTGTACTCAAGCAGAACCAGTATGGCATTCTGAAGGGGAAATCATGTCTGACTAAGATTTTAGAATTTGTTGAAGGGGTGGCAAGCAGGATAGATAAAGGGGAAGTTGTTGATCCAAAATGCATTTAATACGGTAGTGGAAATAATGCTATTAAAAACACAAAAATTAGGAACGGGAGCAGACCATAGCTATAAGATAGAGAGCAGAATTAGGCCATTCAGCCCATCAAGTCATTCGATCATAATTAATATGTTCCTCAACCCCATTCTCCTGCCTTCTCTCTGTATCCTTTGATCCCCTGACTAATCAAGAGCCTATCTATTGTCGTAAAGACACACAATGACTTGGCCTCAACAGCCCTCTGAGGCAATGAGCTTCAGCTATTGTAGGCCTTTTGCCCTTTTGAGCCATACCCTTTGATCCCTTTAGCCCTAAGAACTATATCTTCCTCATCCTTGAATATATTCAGTGGTATGGCCTCAACATATTTCTGTAGCAGAGAATTCTATGGTGGGAATACAAGCTGTGAGAATGACCCAAAGACAGGTGGGAATGCAAGCTGTGAGAATGACACAAAGACAGGTGGGAATGCAAGCTGTGAGAATAACACAAAGACA